GTGTACCGGGTATGTGTTTACGTTTGGTGGTGGGGCTGTTGCTTGGAAGTCCACTAAACAAACTGTACTTTCTCGGTCTACTTTTGAGGCTGAGTTATGTGCGTTGGATACTACAGGAATTATGGCTGAATGGTTTAAGGGACTAATGTCCGAGTTACCTATATTCAGCAAGCCAATTCCACCTATTTGTTTGCATTGTGATAGCATGAGTACAATTGCAAAAATTAGGAGTACCAAGTATAATCAAAAGACTAGGAGACACATTCAAGTTAGATTAAAAACTATAAGGAGATTTGTGTCTCAAGGGGTGTTTGCTGTTGATTTTGTTGGATCCAAAGATAATACAGCGGACCCGTTAACAAAAGGAATTGATTTAAATCAAGTGATAAAATCGAGGTTAGGAATGGGACTGAAACCCAATAATTATTCATCTACGGTAGCAACCCAACCTATCTGAATGGAGATCCCATAAAGTAGGTTCAATGTGGTATAAACAAACCGTAGAGTGAATTGTGCATCTCATTAAAATAATTTTATGAGTTCCATTCCTTGAAAAGCCTTAGAGATGCTGAAATTGCTAAGTTAGTAAGAGTTAAAGACTCTGAATGGGATCGAGCTTTAAAAGCAAAGTGTTAGCAATGCACTCTTGGAGATGCCCAACTATGAGAATGTTATTGTGTGGCCGCAATAAGAGAAAAAGGGTTAATTCTCGATGACATTCTTGAGACAGGATCAGGACGCACGGCCGTAAAGCGTCACCCCTATAGATCGTTGCCATTGCCGTTAGTGTGTTGCTTTTATCCCACGCCAACACAATCAAGGTTCGAGTTCAAGAACTCTGTTCACTCAGTTCCTGTGGGGGTTAGGGGTAAGAGCTTAGAATTTGGTTCAAACCGGAAGGTACCATATTCGAAAGCACACTATGTCTTCTAGAGTTGAGTCTACAACTATGGATTTGTGGGGGATTGTTGGAAATATGATATAAATATTATTATTTTTGGGTTACAATTTTGTGCTCTAAGTAATAATTGTATTAAATATGGAGTGAAGGCTGATAATACATCAAAGAACAATTTACATATTTGGATTTAAATTATAATTAGAATCCATAGTTGTAAAGATTGTAAAGTGATGTATTTTAACAATTAATTTATTTGTTCTATATTAGAGGAAAACAGTCTCATATGAATACTTATAATCATTTGTGATAAGGAACATTGTTCAAGTATCACATAAGGTGATGTGACATTTTGATTTACACTTATATGTGATTCTGACCGGACGGATTATAAGTGATGTGATTAATTTCGCAATTATAGAGACTGTCTAATTGTGTGAACAATGTAATAGCTGATTGGATTATTAAATTGAATTCAAATTCAAAATGATTATCCTTAATGCTATTGATGGATCTTTACAATTGATCCGTTTTTCTGCCGTTCAACACTCAGGTTTAATGAGCTTTTATTTCCATGCGTTGCAAAACAATCCACTCGTTTCCTTCATGTGCTTTACTTCAACTTAAGTTCTCACATCTCACATCTCAATTAATTGATTCATGATCAATAATAACACGACTGTATTTGAAATTGTGTAGGTTATGTGCTGATATTAACTTGGCTACGAAAGGAAGGAGAGGTTTAGTGTTTATTTTAACAAAATATACTCTATTAAGTTCTCATAGCCAAAGTTGATTGTCATATTCAAAATATTTTTGTATTAAAGAATATCATTGGCCAAAGTTGATTGTCGTTGACCAAGAAAAGTCGATTTGGCGAACCATTCTGAGACAAAGGGGGTTTCTAAAAACCCTATATATATCTAAAAATAGCGCATGGGAAATCCAATAAGTAACCTACTACCTCCCTAACAGAAATATCTCCCCACTTTCTTTTTTCGTCCGTCACGAAAAGATCTTCTCATTTCTAAATCTTTCAATCATACCTCAATAATTTTGAAAATAATACATTATTACAACTATTTTTTGGATTTATCCTTCACTCCATCACATTATTTCACCACCTCCTCATTATACTTTTAATAATTTATATCATCTTTCACTATTCATAATCTACCTACATTTGAAATGTGAACATATAAACTAGGGGTGGGCATAACGGTTTGGTTTAACTGAACCAAACCGTACCAAACCGAACTAAACCGAACCGAAACCGGGCCATATGCAATTTGGTTTGAGTTTGGTTCTATTTTTTTCAAATCATGTTAAACTGAACCCAACCAAAACCGATAAAAACCGAACAAAACCGAACCGAACTAAGAAAATTCAAAACCTTCGTATATTATTAAAAATTATCAAATCCAAACCGAACCGAACCGAATTACACCGAACTGAATCAAACCGAAAAATAGTATGTTTTTTGTTTGGTAATAATTCTTCCAACCCTTTCTAAACCGAATCGAACCGAAACTGATTAAAATCGAACCGAAAACGGTATGACCAACCCTGAGTGAGGTAGTACTCCGTAGCTTTTATTCACGCGCGTACGCCCGGACTCAAGCAAATGCACATGCGCTATTCATACCAAAACTCTGCAGCGGAAGCTAACGGAAATCCCATGTAATACGGAAGTCTACAACTTTCCCTTTATGCGTATAAATTTGTATCACTGGGCCGGAATCGATCATCTCTACACCCTACACCAAAAAGAAACCCAAGTACCCAACGTATTGCAAGAATCGGATGAAACGGCCGATTGAAAGGAGAGAATAAAGGGCGCAAAAGGAGGAACCATAACACGGGTGAAGGGAGAGAAGCGGGAAGGTGAGGGATTTTCCCTTTAGGTATATAGAGATAGAGATTCGAACAGGAAAGACATTATGCACCGAAATGTTTTTTCCCACTCGTGCTACATCCATTACACACTATCCCGTCCAAATTCCTGCCCAAAACTCCCCCACGCTTTTCTGTTTTGCTATATACATACATACATACATATATATATATATATAACAAATAGTAATTCACATTATTATTAATATTATTTGATTAGACTTGATTTAAATTGCAAATGTACAAGTATGTATAAAAAGAAGATCAATTTATATTACGTGCATGCAAAGATCTAATTGTAGATAAAATTTGATAAAATTACTTTAATAGAAGTTAAACTAAATTACAAAAATCAGTGAAATTTTTATCCTTTTTATTCTTTTAATAGGATTTATAGGCCGGGATGAAAACACTTAAATCTTATTTTAGATTTTTTTTCGTATGTTTAACTCCTATTTTGAGCAACTTCCTATAAGATTTTAGGTTATATATAGAGGTAGGGTTGGGGTTAAAGGGGGGAAATATCCCCACTCCCTCCGATCCCGTACAATGGATATGCCCCTCGTCGTAGTCAAACAAAACCATTGTAAAATTTCAATGATTTTTTTATATGCTACCCCATTGTATACAAAATGAATCATTAAAACAGTACACATTATACAAAAACAATCGAAGAAGATACAAATATATTATTACAAAAGAGTAAAGTTATTACCTTAAAATTGTGCCCGACATTTCTCAAAAGAGATAAATCCCTAAATTACAGCTTTTGAGTCAAAAGCTTATGAAAATTGCCTGGTTTTGTTTTCATATACTACTTATTTGTGCCGTGTTGACCCAATCGGGTCCGGGTTGACTTGTGACCCAGTCATGTGACCGGGTTGCTTTCTGGCCCGATTTCTTGAACATAGCGTCACTGAAGATAATTTTGTGATGAGGTTATGTTATTTCTATTTCTAAAATATTATAATTGTGAATGAGGGTAAGGGTACTTTAATTTGGGTATCCAAAATGTGTTGCTGTAATTATAAGCCAATGTAAACTTATACTTTGAATTTACACCATTGTGCCTTATTCTATCCACTATCTTTAATACCAGAATCCCCTTTTGATTGTCTTACTTTAACTAAAGAATTTTTAGTTCCAGTTAAGTTTCTCTCTTCGGCACAAACTTCAACCAAACTATTCTTACTTTATTAATTTTCGTGCCGGTCAAACTTGGTCAAGTTTTAAAATCCGGAGACAGTATTAGTTTAGAGTAAATAGTTGGTGACATAAAAACTGGCACCAAAATCATATTTTCCCACACTTATTACCTTATTAATGGCATTCTTTTGAAATTGAACTTCAATTTTATTTAGGAAAAAATGTCAAATAGGTCCTCGAACTTTCATAAAAGGTCAAATAAGTCCTTATATAGGAGGCTCTGTCCGGCCGTCACGATTTGGGGCGGTTCCTGATGGATTTTTTTTTGATGAAATTTTTTGAGCATCTTATTCATCAAGTCTAGTTTACTCATACCAAATTTCAGCTAAAACTTCAATCAGGAACGCATTCAAATTAATTCTTGAAGATAACTGCACATTTACACATCTTTTTCCATTGGACACTGACTAGGTTTTTACTCTTTTATTGAAAATCATATAAACAATCTTATCTTTCACTTTTTTATTATAGCTTTATGGGAAAATCGCACTTTTAGTCCCTGAAATAGTCACGAAAATGAAATGCCGGACCTATATTCCCAAATCTGTAAATGTCGTCCCTCAATTGTTCTAAATGCTGTAAATGTGGTCCTTTAAGGGGTGAAATATACAATGTGGGCGAGAGTACATTTCACCCCTTAAAGGACCACATTTACAACAAGTTGGACACTTGAGGGGTGACATTTACAATATCAAAAATACGGGTCCAACATTTCATTTCATGACTATTTCAGGGACTAAAAGTGCAATTTTCCCTATCTTTATAAATGTGAGATTATTTATATAGGATTTTCAAATATAGGTAAAAACTCTGATCGGGGTCCAATGAAAGAAGATGAGGTACAAATGTGAGATTATTTTGAGATTATGTAAAAGTGAGATTATTTTGAGAAGAACAATGAAATGTGTAATTATTGATCTCAATTTTTCCAAAAACATAAGTCTGAACATAAGAGAACATTGGAAGCCTTACGTTTGCATTGCAAATCACCTACCACACCTGTATCGTATATCTTTGAAAGCTACTGGATAAACAAATTCGGATGTTGTAGTACAATCTAAGAAACATTACCCGCGGAAATTTGTTACAGTGACAATATCATTTAGACATTTAATCACTTTGAAGTTTGAACAAGATAAACCATGAATTTATTTAATTGATTATCCATTTCAAATATCTGCTCCAGTTCTCTATATACGTATGCAAGTTGCGTTTGGTCCCCGGTTCAATGTGGGATTGGGTTGAAACTTGAAACTCGAAAGTTTTTGATAATGGAGAGCAGTGAACCTAAGAAGGACGTGAAATTGCCTCTGCTGGACGGCTGGAAGCTCGGAGGACGCGGGCGGCGCAGCCGGCGGTTTTCCAGGCGGAACTCTGTTACCTCGCTCCGAAGCGATTTCCTGGCTCGTCTACCGGATAATGTCCGTTCCTGCGTTGACCCTGAGTCTTCTTCTCCGCCTGACCTCTCCAAATCTTCTTCCTTGACGAAAGGTCCTTCTCTCCCTCCCTTACCCCCTCTCATTTTCATGTGGATTCCGTGTTTGTTCATCGTCATTTATCTTTTGAGGGCGGGGTTCTGTGGTTATTACCTTGTTCTGCACTTCGCTTCTGGATAATGAACAAATGTGCATGTTTCTTCCTGGAACGGCTGGAAGATGAGCTTTTGAGACATAACTGTTGGGTTACGTCTTCAAGCATAACTAATTGAAGCTTACCAACCCAATTGCCATAGCATCTGCACAAAACAGAATCCGCAGAACGAACTAAGTCTAGTTTTGATGTAAAACTGATCATATTAAGAGATAATAAACCGTGAGACCCTTAAAGTCCATCAAAGTTTGCAATATCAACAAGTTGAAACAAAGTATTTGTAATTACTGAATTATAATTTGTAAGTATAGGCATTAAGGCATAATTTGTAATTACTGGATTATAATACTTCTTAGTTATTTTTAACAAGTCGTTTTCAAGAACACCCGATCGGTTGCACCAAAGGAAGCTATTTTCCAGGAGTGAAATTTGTGAGTATGCCGAGCCGAATTGGAAAATTAAATACCCACTTTACAAAAAGAAGATAGTTAGATAGGTAATACATGCCCATTAGGTTTAGCTTATAAGAACCATGTTTCAATATTTAAAGGTGCAGTTGATGACTTGATGAAGGCCTCACTGAAGAGGAAAAGCTGGAAACTTTTAGTATTTCTCTAGTTCTTGGCATTGGAAGTTCTGACTTCATTACTCTATTCTTCTACTACTTTCTTTTATCCTTTCAAGAATGAAACTTATTTGGATGTGGGCCCTGAAGCATGGCCATGTAAGAATGGATTACACACACTTTACTTATTCTTGTTTTTCATTAGGAGAAATGAATTACTATCTCTGCCCCCTAATACATGAGAGAATGATGCTGTTATTAAGAAAAGTGAATTCATATGGTTGTTATTAAAGTGATAAAATGTGAATAAAATAAGAATGGATTAAAACCACACAATTATTACTAAAAATGGTATGTGACAATCTTAGTAGGTCGGGAAAAAAGGACAGTACAAAGATAGTGGGATAGAGGGAGTACTAATATCTTATAATATCTTAGCTTCAACTTACGAGCTAATTTTTTGTTACATATGTTTTACGGGATTTATGTCTTATATTGGCTGCTAGTCTGCTACTGCTTGTGCCTTATATTATTTTTAACGACTCAAGGATTGCCTGATTGCAGGAGAAAAAGAATATTATGAAAAACAATTTGCCACTTTACAATCATTTGAAAGTGTTGATATCGTGACTTCATCTAACTCGACTGATGAAGATCTTGAGGAATCAGCCCAACATGAGAGAGCAATGAAGATTTCCAATTACGTGAATGTATTATTACTGGCTCTTAAGGTGATTGCCATTTCTGTATACTCCTTCCGGGTTCCGTCCCTATTTAAAATTCCTGTTTTAGTTTTACAATGTTTGACTTGAGTATTGAAAATATTAAAAGAAGTATCAATAATTAAAGTTACATATTTAAAAACTACAATAAAAGGTTCATTAAACTATGAAAACTGAATTTGTATTATGATAAAAGTTTGATATATAAAATCAGAGATGAAAAAAGAGTTAAGTTTACTGCATGAATCATGAACAGGAATTTTATTTCAAAAAGGAGAGTTTATTAACATGCATGGCATAGAGTAACTTTCGCGTTGATATGAAATGTGGAATATAATATAATACTATGAAATGATTGAAATCCATTCATCTTTCAGCAAAAACATTTCATATGAAATGTGTAATATAATACATGACTTAAGTTGGCAAACGGTTGACAGGGGAATCACACATATAGTTTGCTTTGAGAACTTCAAACTAATTTGATGGAGTACTTTATGCTTTTGCAGAGTTATGCTACAGTTAAAAGTGGGTCTTTAGCTATTGCTGCATCAACATTGGATTCTTTACTTGATGTCATGGCTGGCGGCATATTATGGCTCACTCACTTGTCAATGAAAAACATAAATATCTACCAATATCCCATTGGGAAACTGAGAATGCAGCCAGTTGGCATTATTATCTTTGCTGCAGTCATGGCTACATTGGGTTTGTCACTGCTTGACTGCTAACATTTTCATATTCATCCCGAAATTTGGGGATTTTTATGCAATTTGGTTCCTATTGCAATCCTGTCATGCTTGCAGAAGTGGTTATATGATCATTCATTCCCTCAATATATATCTTGTTCTCAGAAACTAGAGCTTTATAAAGGAAATAAAAATACTGCGAAGCAGGTAGCAAAATGACAGCATGTAAATCAATTGGGCATGCACCGAGAAGCCACAAAGATTCAATTTTTTAACTTTTAACTTGTAGACCACTCACTCGACCTTGAAACAAAATGCATTTTTTTTTACTGAAACATGTATAAAGTATCTGACCGTATGGACATGTGGTATGTAGAACATTGTGCTTTATGCATGAGTATGGTTTTCAAAGAAGTATTAGACTTCATAAAATGGATTTTCCAGAAGTCACTTTGGTAGATATAACCTTCTTTAAATGAGGTTAAGGTTCATAATGATCCTTTAAGTTGATTCATCTATTCTATATATTTCATATAAGTTGAGACTTCAGACGTTGCTACTCATTAACTCTTGGGCTTTGTCTTTGAAAGAGAATGTGGCATTAAATCATTACAACATAATGGATTTGCAAGGTGGTTTTCTGCCCAAAGCTTGTTACATTGTGTTGGTTAATGCTGGAGATAGTTTTTCTGACAGCAAGGAAAGTAGAAATTATCATCTACTTATTCAAAAAAAAAAAAAAATATCATCTACTTATTCTTTCCAACCTGGATACTTGGGTGCATAAGTGGATATAAATTAATTTTTACAACAAAGTATAAATGAATGAAAAACAATTTAAAGGAATACAATACAATAGCTGTTTATGAAACACTTAATGTTCCACCCTTCATTAATTTTCATTCTCATTCTTAAATGAGTATTTACTTTTCCTCTCTTTGAGTTTTGTCATGTTTGTTTACCCATGAGATGAATAACTTTCATTTTCCATTCTCTCAGAGAATAGGTCGATTTGTCGGTTACATCTATTCGCCTGTCCATTTTTCTCTGTTTCTCAAAACATAAAGAAGGAATAACAAATCTATAGTTTTTCCAAGTTCTAGACTTCTAGCCCTTGCTTGTAAGTTTATGTCACTTCTAAAATTCAAATTTCACCTCAGGATCAGCGTGCTATTTGGTTTAAATGGTTGCTATTTCACATATCTTTGTGTTTGATATTTTTCCTTGTTATTCTTGCTCTGAATATATTGTAATTCCCTCTTTTTGATGTTGCAATTTCATAGGGAAATTAGGTTTGTTTACAAAAGGTTGCTTCCTGTTATAATATTATCTCATGACTCATGAGTATGAAAACATAATTATTTTAATTCACAATTATCTTCTTAAAGATTTTCTGCAATGGTAATTCCAATTTTCTAAATTTGGCATGTACAGGATCAAACTGATCTTTTCTGAAACAAATCTCCCTCCTTGATAACTTTTGGGCATCACTTGCTTAGGCTTTCAGGTATTGGTTCAGGCTGTCGAACAACTTCTTGAAAATAAAGCATCTGAAAGTTTGACCTCAGATCAGCTAACATGGCTGTATAGCATCATGATAACTGCCACTGTTGTAAAACTTGGTCTTTGGATCTACTGTAAGAATTCAGGAAATGAGATTGTTCGAGCTTATGCAAAGGTAAAACTTAGCTTTACTCACCACATTCCTTCTTTTAAGAGTGGCAGTGCCTAATTTTTTGTTATTATATTTCAGGATCACTATTTTGACGTTGTTACAAATGTAGTTGGATTGATAGCGGCTGTGCTTGGAGATAACTTTTACTGGTGGATTGACCCTACCGGGGCCATTGTACTTGCAATTTACACAATTGTAAATTGGTCAGCAACCGTCCTAGAGAATGCAGGTATCTGTAGGCAGAAGATTTATGAAACTGAAACCTCTAAATACTACTACGTATTACATATGAAGTATTTATTTAACAAGCATAAAGTATCCCTATCATTTATTGTTCGCCTTTTTGTTCTCTAATCACACATTTATACCATGACCTTAATTCTAATTAATGTCGGAGTTGGTGAAATGAAATTTATAGTGTCAATTAAATTGAATATGTAGAAATTGTTAACAAATATCGAATCATGCAAAAAGCATAGTGGCTTATATGGGATGCCGTTCCTGCTGCAACCTTTTTTCTGAAGAAAAATGACATTAAAGTTAACAAGAGATAGGCATTATACGTCATACATTGTTTTTCAATTGCATGGAGAATATCATTAGACATTGATTGAAACTTGAGGTACTTACACTATTACTAGAACTAAAATATCGAATAGGTTTGAGTCAATGTGTATTTGAGTTTGCTAATTAATTATTGTTATTAATGATGTTTAGAGAAGATATAGATACATTTTGAGTGAATTCTAAATGTATTCTGAGAGTTGGTCTAGTGGTCAGCCATTCCTAAGCTTTACTAGGCGTCAGGCACCAGGCGTTCGAGTCCCAGCGCCGGTATAATTTTTTAACCTTTCAGTTTTATTCTCTAACTCTTTTTCCCATATTACTTTGTCCCACACCGGACAAAGAAGTAAGTTTTCTCCTTCAGAGTTCTATATAACGAGGGATCCGCTCACAAGAAAGGATGTAGGGGATCTGTAGCCGAGTAGGCTATGTATTAATCTAATAGAATTATTGGGCTCCAAATTCTTTGGGCTAGCTTTATTGGCTTAATTCAATGAATAGTAGTTCAAATTTATGGTTTTTTTAAAAAAAAGATCAGTTTGTTTTGGTTTTGGGGTAAACCGACCTGAAAAATTGGTTCTCAACAAATTGGGACCCATTATATGAGTGGTTCGGTTTCGGTTATGCTTATTAAGAAAACCGATTTATTGGTTCGGTCCTAGATTTCTTCGAATCGGTTCGCGAACCGAACCGAATCCAGCCCTAGTCATTCTGATGATACTATTTGTTAAGTATGCAGAGAAGAAAGAGGAAATGTAGCATAAAGAAAAATAAACACAGCCCAACTACCCAAAAAATGCTGGAGATACTATGATTGGATGATTCCTTTTATTTATTTCTTCATTGCAGCAGAATAAATGCCTCAATTGAAATCCTCCATCCCATTTTACCTGTCCTACTTTCCTTTTTGGATTGTCCCAAAATAGGTGTCACATTTATTTTTTTGGAAAGAAATATGTGGTCTATAGCAATTTACTTTATTATACTCAAATGTCAACTACAACTTTTACTTTTTCAACCACTTTATTAATAATTGTGCCAAACCGGACACATTAAATGGGACGGAGGTAGTACAAGCGTAAATATTTAAACATATGAGTTTCTCTCAGAAAGGTCTGATGGGAAATAGTTGCAAACAGTTGCAACTTCTGATTTAGTCTGAAATCGACTCGGGACATTCTGTTCCATTATGCTGTTTATAATGGAATTCGTTTTCATCGGAAGCAGCATCTCTACCCCATTTGGGTAGAGGTGTGAGTAAATCTCTCTCTCCCGAGATCCTACTTCTGATTGGTATATATTGGGTTTCTCTGGTTTGGTTTGGCTTTGTTATACTTTTCCCCAATTAAATTGGGCTTAGGTTCTAGTTGAGTCAACAGTCAAGTCTAATAGAAAGTCAGAAATATACTTCCTTTGATGTTTATAAAAGCTATATTAACATTGATCTCATTTTCTCTAGTAGAATTTTACTATGTTCTCTCCCAACATTTAGCCTTCCGTTATACCCTGAAAAAACCATTCATCAATTTTTTACTCTCATGTATCTTTATCTGCTGTACTAACCTAAATCTGGTGTTGATGGCAGCATCACTCATAGGACGATCAGCCCCTCCAGAAGTATTGCAGAAGTTAACGTATCTAGTAGTCGGGCACCCTCAAGTGAAACGTGTTGACACTGTCCGAGCATATACTTTTGGTGTCTTGTACTTTGTCGAGGTTTCTCCTATTCTTCCCCTAAATCATTCTTTGTTTGAGATGGTCTGAATTAGTGATGTTGTAGTGATAGTTTCTATCCCCATCCCATTCTTGGTGTACTAAAAAAATTCCTTTTCCCATTGACAGGTTGATATTGAACTACCAGAAGATTTGCCTTTGAAACAAGCTCACACCATAGGAGAGAATCTACAAATAAAGATTGAGAAACTCCCTGAAGTAGAACGAGCATTTGTTCATCTTGATTATGAGTGTGACCACAAACCTGAGCATTCTGTACTCAGCCGGCTGCCCAACAGTGAACCCTAATATCGCAATAATCTCGGTGTGTGCCTCACACGTTTTGCCTCAACACATGTTGTAGATTATATACTCCATATAAGTTTATAAAGAAGTGCTGCATTTCTGGTTGCGATGTTTGAACTTTGAACAAGCTGTTTTTCAAGGTTTTTGCAAATTTTTTATGTGAAAGGTTGGTCACTTACAAACCTATGTGACCTTCATGCCCCATTAAGATGCAAATCCCGGTATAGTGTATATAAAAAATAAAATAAAAACCGTGGACGCTCTTTCACCGGCCATCCGTTGCTCTTGTTCACCAATTTGTTCGCCCATCTCCTTCCTCAATTTTCCTAATTATTTTTCTTCTTTTCTTCTTCAATTTTCCTCTTCCAACTCCTCAAAGTGGGATTGTATTCTTCTTTATCATAAAAAATTTAAAAACAGTATTTGTATTTGGAAGTTTGTACTTTGTACTATTCTTCAAGAGTTCAAGCGCTTTATCTTATTTTATTCAATTTGTGTGATTCATATATAAAAGTTAACATAGTTCATCGTGTTCTATAAATTACATAAAAAAACACACTATAGGGTGTCCCCAATATGGATTCTTACAGATTTTAAAGGAATTTAGAATTCCATCTGAATTTGGGTGTCTTGAATTTGGTTTTGTGCGGAGTCTGCTAAAATCTTAGTGTTCTTCGAAATGTACGTGGATTCCTTAACTCTGGATTGCTAAGGATTCCCGTCGATTTCCAAAGCTAAAATACAAAGGAAAGAATACGACCGAAACTCTCTGTGCTTCCTTTGGATTTCCACGGATTTCCGTCTAGAGCAAAACAAAGCCAAAAGAAAAGAACTCACCAGAGCCGTCGAGAACAAAACGAAGCCAGAAGCAAGGGGACTCACCGGAGCCGTCGAGCTTGCCAGCTACATCATTGGAATGGGAAGTCTAGGATAAGAGCTCCTGCTAATCTGCACATCGTCGGAGATAATAGGCTGTCGTTTTGCTTGTTTCCTTCTTCAGTCGCGGAAGTTGCATCAACCTAAGGGAGAAAGGCAAAAATCTTCAAATCTGGCGAGCGGCAAAGCCGGATGCTGAGGCTTCGGGGTGGCTAGGGTCGAAGGCAGAAGTTGAGAATCAGAGAGATTTCAAAATCCATGGAATTTGATTAGAATCTCACAAATTCTATACAATTCCATTAAAGTCCATTAAAATCTCACTCTTTTAAAATCCTTTGAAATTCTAATTGAGGACACCCCCTACAATTAAATCTATATTATTGACTTTTTTCGTTCTTTTTTAGTTGTAAGTTGTAACATTTCAATTTTCATGTTTTCCAACGTACAAATTTGGTCATTAATATATTTCGTTTCTTATTAGTAAATAAGGTTCAAAACTCTGATTTTAAAAATTTAAAATGATAGGAAGTTAACAATATTTTTCAAAAATTTAATTTATAATATATTACGTAGTATTAAATAAAATATAGTCAAAATAGAACATATAAATAGTGTAAATTTCACTAATTTTACAACTAAACAGAACGGAGATATTACAAAGCAAGGAGATAAATAGTAAATTTCCCGCTTTGGTATGAAGTCGGGTAAACAGGTCAAATAATGCAGTCCAATAATTAATAAATGCATTGCCTCGGCTACATAACTACTACTTAGATACTTGAAAAAAACCGTTTCTACACACTTTTACTGTTCACACACTTTTACACATGCTGTGAAGATTTTTTTTGTCTGTGAATATATTGTTCACTGACAAAACATGTTTTATCTTGAAGGAATATTTGTGTAAAAGTGTGTATACCAAGCAATCATACAAAAACCCTTTCTTCCTATTTTACAAGTCATTCTACGTACTATTTCCAATCCTTTATTTAAGTCCTTATGATAAAAAAGAGCATCATAAAAGTATGCTTACTTTAAAAAAATGTTCAATCTCATCATTTAATCAGTTTTTGATCTGTAATAGCTGATTTTTTATATTAAAAAACTTAAAAATTTTGTTTAAATTTGAAGAAATATCGTTAAAATTTGTGAGAATTTTAAGAATGTTAAAGTCATATTTTAGCATTTTCAAATTATTTGTATATTCTACATCTATCTTAAAGGTATTTACATCATTTATTTTTTCAGTTTTTACATTTTCACTTTATTTTTTCAATTTTATGATTTTCATTTTTTATTTGGATGTTATTAAATTATTTATGTTTTTTACATTTATGGTATTTTTTTATTATTAAATTTTTCAAATTTATATGAATTTTTATAAGATTTCTCAATAGTATTTTTATAAGAGGTCAAAATGGCTGATTGGTGTATTTTAAAAGTAAGCATACTTATATGTAAATCACTTAAGCCTTTGGAAGAAGGGCCGGGCTTAAGTGATGAATTGAAAATAACAAAAATATCTATTTGACCCTTTTTTCTCTAATTTATAATCATAGTGGTGAAGATTCATAAAATGTTCACGATTTTTTTACTTCACAAAATTGCGATTGCTTCTTTTTTGAAAAAGTGATTTACTAGCGTTCAATACTAAAAGTTAGTAGCGTTTGAGACAAATGTATCTTTGGAAAAAATAAAAGTTGGTGGTGTTTAGTTAAAAAAAACTATCAAATGTATATGGTATTAGGCTCAATGCTAAACATGCTCATATACCACTGCCCACTTATAGCCCAATCAGAATAAGTGGGTCAAGTGTTATGCTCCAGTGGCATGCCTGAGATGTTTGTCTCGCCCGGTACCTATGGCACGCTCGGTACCTAGGACATGATCAAGTACTTGCAAGCTAAGCTTTCTCGTTGTGGGGGCTGCTCCGCCAGGGGATTTGCGGGAAACAAAAAATTGACAAGAAGCGTATTTAATATACTAAATATTACTCCCTCCAGTTCACATTCTTCTTTACACTTACTATTCATTGGTCAACTCAAGTCACTCTTAATCTTTTACTTTATATATCAAATTTTTATCGAATTTAAATTTTCTTGATCAGGCTTTGTAGCGGTTCCAATGTAGTTTCTGAATATGTAAATTTTATTTACTAAAAATAATCTGAGTGTGAACAGGAATCAAGTTGCTTTATCGTCAGTCAAGCATTTTTTCCGAAGTGTCAAGGAGAATGTGAACCGGAGGGAGTATAAATTATGTGATTGATGTTTAGCTACAGAAAGTCATGTTTGTTCTGAAATGTCAAACATATATCATTTTTACTCTTAAAAAATGTCATTCGTTACTTCAAAAATGTATGAAGATGTAAAATAAAACCATCATCTTGATACATATATTGACATAAAAGTGGCATTTTTTAAAATCAATATTCAATAACAGTAAGGGTTGCACAAGAATAACCCGAACCCGCATAACCCGCCCGACCCAACTCTACCCGGCCCTATTTAGTCGGGTATTTGATTTTAAAAAATATGCATGGGTTAAATATGTTTGAACCCGCACCTAATGGGTAGGGTTGCGGAATTAAAATCTCAAACTCGATAGTACCCGACCCGGCCGAAGTTCATTTTTCTTGGATAATTTCAATTTAAGACCAATGTGATCTATCAAGGACTTTATGATATAATTAAACATTTACCATTTTGACTAGGTGATTATTATATATTTATGTTTCTTCTAAATGAACTCTACGGAAAGATGTTTTAATACTATTATGTAATTAATGCTTTTGCTTATAAAAGATACGAACACTTGTATTTGTTTGTGTGTTTTGGAGACAAGTTAATCGAGTTTTTAATTGGTTACATAAATTTCCCACATGAAATATACAACCCGAAGTGATTCCCCCCCCCCCCCCAATACCCTACCCGACCCGTTCATGCATGGTTTACCAACTTATTTTACATATCGCGGGTTGGTTAATAGCCAACCCGAACAAATCGGGTGGGCCCAAAAAATATAGCAAACCCGACCCGACCCGCCCGATGTGCAGCCCTAAATAACATAACAATAATGACATTTTCAGGTTCAAATGGTGAGGAAAATAATGTGAATATTTCAAAATGAAATAAATAGAATTAATAAAAATGGAAATTCAAAAGAGAAGAAATCACATGTGATAGGGTATTAATTCTAGAGAGAAGTGAGAGCTAGAGAGAGAAAGTGAGTAATTATATTTCTCAACCCCCTATAACTAGCCCCAAGGGGTCTATTTATAGGTAAAAATGTGGATTTGGGCTCCTAGCCATGGGCTTAGGAGGCCCATTACAATAATTATGCCTTCTTTGGGCGAAATAGGGCCACTAATGGGCTGTGTACAATACTTAGTAAATAAAGTAGAGAGATGCATTTTGCCCGGACGGAGTCGGGCCGATGCGGTGCCTTTTGGCCGATGCGGTCTCATGGCCGATGCGGTCCATGGGCCGATGCGGTCCCGGGAGTCCATGCGTGCTTCCTGGCCCGGTTTGGTTTCTGGCTGATGCGGACCCACTGGCCGAAGGGGGCCACGTGGGTGTTCTTCTGGTCATCGTTGACTTGAGTATGTGGGCCATGGGGTCCAGGCCCATATACTCTATCAGGAGTCCCCCACTCTCTGAGCTGAGGCGAAGCCGAAGCGAAAGGGAGTACTTGTTCCTTTCTGGCTGGTGCTTGGTGGCCGAAGAGGTGCGTGAGCTCGAGGTGCTTGGTGGCCGAAGAGGTTCTGCTTTGATTTTGGATGAAGCGGTTTCCTCATTTGATGTAGACGGAGCGCGCTTTGAGGATTCATAGCCTTGGTGCGGGCCGATGCGCTCTTTGTGAAAAGTGTTTTGAGGACGATGCGGTGCGCTTTCTCTTTCCAGTAGATGTGAATTATGGAGAGCCCGGCCTGTTTTATTACCATTTCGTTGGGGCCAAAGAGGTCCTATTTATCTTTTGGCCGTAGTGATGGTCCTTGTTTTTGCGAAGTGGAGATGACTGATTCTGTCCATGGGGACGATGCGATGCATGCCTTTGATCTTGTCATGTGGCCGGAGCATTTTGACTTGTGTATTCTTGCTTTAGTGAGCCGACGCAGTCCCCCAGTGTATGTAGCCGTTGCGCGCTGGATTTTGTTTTTGGGTTTTAAATTTTTGGGCTCTTTAGCCGATGCGATCCGCAGTGCTATTGAGGTGAATCGTTTGTTTTTTGTAGCGAATCCTCCGTGTGTTGAGGCCGTTGCGTTCCAATTTATGCTATTTTCCTTTCCTGTAGCCGATACAGTCCCCCCAGTCCCCCACTCCTTTGGCCGAAGAGTACTTGAGGCACAAGGGAGTCATGATGTTCTCGAGCCGATACGGTACCCATGCGGGAGAACCCTTGGACGAAGGCCGCGATACCAGGGTCATCATCAAACGATGTGCGCGTGAATAGCCGTAGCGGTTCTTTGGGGTTGCTTTGGGGCCGTAGCGCAATTTCTCCTTGCTTTTGAGTGAGTAGGCCGGTGCCTACCCCTAGTTTCGGGGCTTGCTGGGCCGTAGTGGTGGCCTTAGAGTGGAATGTGA